TGTGTGTGTGTGTGTGTGTGTGTGTGTGTGTGTGTGTGTGTGTGTGTTTATTAGTGATAACAGACGGAGAGCACAGGTACAGACTGTCCTGTTCAAACCACCTGCCAGTCCTCACGGCAGCCCTCACCATAGCCACCATTGCCTATACTCAGGAGACACATACACACACACACACACATACATGCATACACAGCCTATGGAAAGAACAAGACATGTTACAGGTGTGAAGACAGGAAGGGCAGAGATTTATTTCCCATGTGGGGATGTTCCCTCTGGAATCAGCAGTCTCTCTATGTATGTGTTGTGAGCCTTGGAGGGTGACGCCAACCTGAAAACAACCACAGCGAGCTGGTGGATTCCCAAGGTTTTAATTGGAAACGTGCGAAACTAAATGGAAGGGTTCCCTCTTCTTTTCAGTTATCACAGACGAACCTTTGTGTCGGTTCAAAACGTATGATTCAAGGATTGAATATTTCATGATTTTGAGCTTATACTATGTACTTGCATAGCATTGATACATTGATAATGGGAGCATCTACCATCAAATTGTTAGGTCCATGATTTCAAACAGCGGTAGACAAAGACATGCTTCTCATTTCTGGCCTGTGGCTGGCGATTTGGACTTTTTATCAGCTGTAGCTAACTAGATAATTAAGCTAGCTCCATGATTTGGTTGAAAATATTGTGTTTCCAGGTGACTCCTTTTGAAACTAGATACCCTTAAAAGGGTTTTAAATGTGTTACGTGACCTAAAGCTGGATGGCCGGCTGTTATGCACTTATGCTAGTTGCGGTGTGTTTGTAGGAGGGAAGGAAGCAGACTCCACCAGTCAGCTAATGAGAGGCTTATCTCAGCAGTTCACGTCGGTTGAGTCACACTAATACACTTAATGTACGTTATTTGACCTACACTGGTAGATTACACCTTGTTCAGACTTATTTTGCACCAATGAGGCACGTGTTGAACCTCATCTTGTCTGTCTGATTGGCTCTCAGCAGACTGACCACTTGCACATACCACCACACACACACACACACACACACACACACACACACACATATATAAGAGGGTGTGACCAGAGTAAAAATTAGACCACAGGGATCTAGGTCAGAGATGTGAGTCATCGCCTCCTTGCTTCATCCTCCCCCTTTCCTCCTTCCTCCCACACCCACCGTCATCATCCTTCCCCGATTCCCTCTTCTTCTTTCCTCCCTTACTCCATCCCCGTTTATTCATCCGGCTCCCCCCCCCCCCCTCTATCAGGGAAATCTTCATTCACAAAGTGGAGGGAGGCAGCGCAACTGGCTGTTACTGGTGAATGCGATTGGTCTGCTCGGTGGCCGGGTTTCCACCAATGGGGAATGCTGCCAGCCATGGAGCTCTGAGTGCACTTAGTATGTAGAATAAAACAGAATCAGGGTTTTCCCTCTTCGTCCAACTTTTACACAAAGTAGACTGTAATGTGAATCGGTAAAATTTGAAAATTGTACACTCTCTGTTAGATGATCAAATTAGCACAGATATCAAGAAGGTGTTCGGGTCCCGATGACCTAATGTTCTGTTTCAACTTGGCTGCGGAAAGGTGTTGCGTTGCATTACTTTGAAATCTGGACTCAACATACAAATAAACAGAACAACAAGTGTTATGGAGGCTGTAGCTTAACAAGTTGGAGGTTTTTTTTTTCACGCGTTGGCAGAGGCTCTCGCTCTGCTGAGTGCCTCCTGGTTCAACGTTTTGTCTTTGCAATGCTATAAAATCAGGACATTTTCACTGCCTTTTGCCACACTGCTTTTCACTCTAAATATCATCAGGCAGAAAGTACGTTTTTAGTTTTTACTTTTAAACAGAAAACTCTTTCTTTTCTTGTTTTGCTCCCAGGAAGCGTGCCTGTACCTGTTAAAGAACTACGACTGGTGTTTGGACCCTCCATCGCAGGACCTTGAGTACAAATGGCTGCCTGTGTCTCGCCCGGCCAACCCCCCCACCATCTCCTTCACCCGACTCGATCGTACCAGATCTGATGGTAGCGACACCAGCTAGGGATGCACAGTATGTTTAGTGATGTAGCTGCTGATAAGTTGGGGGGGGGGGCAAAGAAATACATATAAGCACTAAAAACTAGCTCGAGGCCCCCCCCCGCTGCATATGATAGAGTAATCATCCTGGGAAAGCCGAGGAGTGTGCTGGTTTCACTCTGTGTTGCTCTGCCAGATATTCAGCAGCTTTGCTTGAGGAATCTGCAACAAAACACGAACTAAATGACTCATAATCGTTCTCCTATTGCTGAATCTGACACTGCTAGACAGCATTTTTTTTGGTCAGTTTTTTTTAATTTTTTTTTTTAAATGAGTCATTTATGAAAAAGATTCACCAGATCCGGAACATGGAACTCATTTCCCAACTGAATCTGTCTCATACATCAGATACTGCTTATAGGTTGAATAGAGATACACCTTCCCTTTTCCCGTGGTGGAGTTTACTGTGAACAGAAATTGAAATTTCCTCCAAAACTACAGCCCTTGTTTGGTAGAAATTGCATTCCCCCCTACTCCGCAGTATCAATATTTAAACCACATAAATCCAAGGGAACACACACACACATGTGCACACACGTACGCAGAGGTGAGCCTTCAAATTCAATACCTAACTGCAAACCTGCCTCCCCTCCCCCCCTTCCACCACCTAGCAACCACCACAGCAACAGTTCGTCATACCGACACTGACTTTAGTATGCAAGTCTCACACACACACACACACACACACACACACACACACACACACACACTAAACTGGTTATTTTTGAAAGCAGTTGGCAGTGATACACGCACCATCTGAGTCACATGTAAATGTTGCCAGAAGGCGTTTGAGATCGCGCGTCCACATTTTAAATAACCTTCGTAACCTGAATGATTTCTAGCACATGAATCATAAACCAAGCTAGAGTTGTTCTCTGTCTATCACATGAAACATGAAAAAAATAAAATGGTTTTAAATTTGTATTTGTTAATATTGAAGTGACACATTATATTATTATATTATTATATATATTACATTATATTACATTACATATTGTTTGCATTTGTCTGGCATAGTCATGTAAGTGCATAATTGTTAAATTACTTTTTTTATGTTGTGTAATTGTTTGATGTATGGGTTAGTGTCAAACTTCTTTTAATGTTAGTTAGTATTTTATCTCCACTATAATACCACATTGTTCTTTTATTAATCTGTGTGCTATATTTTTTGTAAAAAATGTGACATTTGGAGTATTTCACTGTTTCTGTATCCTGTCAAATCTACAGGTGAAATACAGGTGTCATTTTGAATGCTATTTGTTTCCAATTTGTTTTTCCGGGCTTCCCAAATAGATCTCAGGGGTCATCGGATGATTCAAAGAATAAGGACAAAATAAATAAAAAAATGTAACAATTATTTCTTTATTTAATTTATCTAAAATTATTTGTAAGAGCTTGATACTTTTTCCCTCTGAAAGTCCTTCTCGTGTCTTTCTAAAAGCAAAAAGTACCTTTCTGGTTGAACTGCTTATAGCTCATGTGCATATCCTGTGATGACGGAGTAGATTCATTTTAGATGTCACAAAAAGTTTGAAGCAGCTAAAATAAAACAGTAAGATGTTCTCTAATTGCTTTCACCCACATCACATCTAAAGGAGAAGACTGAAACACATATTGTGATACTATTCTCAAGGAAAACCCAGTTTATGTCTAATAAAATAGCATACAAATAGACAGTAAAAAGCAGACAGAAAATTACGTTTCACAGTTACAGTTAAGTTACATATATAAACATGTAGCAATATTAATGCTTTATTACAGATTTCGTTTAACTTATCCCAGCAACAATAATATGTCCAATGTGAGCTTGAACATGTTCAGCTGCAGTGTGAATAAGGCCTCGAGTGTGTAACTCGTATGAAACGTGAGCTATGCCGTTAATGCTGCCCGCCGTCCCTGTAATCTGCTATCGGCATGTGTCTCAGAAAGATGCTTTTGTCCTTCGCAACAAACCTACTTTGTTCTCTTCGCTGCTCTCTCTCTCACACACCAAACTATACTCCCTCCTATACACAATGAATTATGCTGCAGACGGGCATGTTTCTTACTTGTCTCACTCAGCCGTTGTCTCTGTTTCCCCCCTCACACACACACACACACACACACACACGCAGACATACATCACACAAGATCAGGCAGAAAATGGGGCTCTTGTGAACAGAGTGGTATGACTCACTGCTCTCCCTGCACTTGTCCGTTAGCTTGTCCGGTACTCACAGCAAAGCACGACAGGCGACAGACGATTTACAGTCACAAGTGATGTCATAGTATTGGTTTCTGTGTTATAGTTTAGTGTGATTTATCAGCTATTTGAATCATCAAATACCAAAAAATCATACTACATTCGATTAATGATGAAATATCGTGGTCGACATCAGGTGGAGTTAAGTGAAGCTCCTCTCACAAGTAGCGGAAGTTGATTGGATTCGGACACGTCGACTGTTGTAGGGATTTAACCTGAGACCTTTAGGTCACTCGATGAATAGATCAGCATTTCACACGGCATATGTCTTGCATTCCAGGCTCAACCAGGCTATCTGTGTGCCCGCTTGTGGGCCACCCCTTCACATTTCAACACTTTTAGAAGTCAGCTAACCACACGCGCCCACCGCAAACAATGGCCGAGTGGATTTCTTCTGGTGAATGTAATGTCAATGAATTTCAAGAATGTGATGAGCAGAGGCGGCATATGCTCTCTTTCATACATGTAGATTTCAATAAGATGCAGTTCATTTAGGTTCGTTTGTCCCTTTATGCTTCACACAAAAACAGAAGAGAATATGCCACGGTCGAGAAAGAAGGATGGGTTGAGGAGTTTTACAGCCTGTAGTCTGGTGTCGGTAGATACTTCTCAGTGTTTCCTACAGGATTTTTGTGAGACTGTGGTTGGTGGACCTCAGTCCCTCTGGGGATTTGTACATTTTAAAGTCTGCTCACAAACCTGGCCTCATCGGTATCCCCGATGCTCGGTGTATGGCAAAGATGTTCTGGGCTACAGGATCCTTCAACCAACACAGCTCACATTGTTTGTCATGCACATGTTTGATGAAGGAATATATTATAATTTATAGAGAATTAGAAAAATGCAATACACTAAAGGTGGGGTCATTTTCCATCCAGGATGGTGAGAAAAGGGAAGTAGTGTCGGAGGTAGGACAGTGTGTCCAGATGGCGGAACAAAGCCTGGGGTCAGTTTTAATGAGCAGAGCTAATTACCACATGACTGTCCTATCTCTCCACTCCCAGTGGACTGTTGGCCTTTAACAGGGTATACAACAGGAAGTAAAGGCAGGAAAAACCCACTGCCTACCCCTGCCACATGCACACACATAAGAGTCACTGTAAACAAAGTGTGTTACATGCACCCAGCACATTTTTATGGGCACAGTTGACTGACAGCCAACTTCTTGTGATAGTGTACACAAGCACATTCTGACTCAAATTAATCTGAAAAAATGTATTATTTTGCACCAAAGTTCTTAATTAAATGAAAATAAACTCTAAAAAATACTCAGGTCTTTTCATTTGTTAAGTATTACATTCACTCAAGAGTATGCAAAACCATGTGGTTATTTCATATAGACTTTATTTATTTATTGAATTACCAGAAAATGCATTATATCGTGCTATATATATATATTTATTTTAGAGATATGAGGTTTCCTTTATTGTGGTAGCAGATTTTGGTCATATAGGCCAGCCCCACGTAACCGGTAGGCTCTAACCCCACAAATCATATGGTTAGTTTGTGATATGCTCCTTGGTAATGTTAGAGCGGAAAAACATTCGGAAGGGGTTTAGTGAGCTGTCTTTTTAGCCCTTCTTATGCATAGTTTCCTAGTTTTAGAATGAAATGCATTTTTACACAGATGCAAAACAAACACATCACACGCTTTGTGGACAGTCAGCACAGTAATAAAATTTAAACAAACGGTATAATTGTTACAAAATTGTATACAAAACTATGCAGCCTCATCTTTGTCTCACCTGGTAATCTTATTCTCATTGTTTTGATGTCTACAAGTGTTTCTCCATCAGTCAAATTCCTGCAGCAAACCTCCCGCCCACACAGAGACACACTCGCACAAACACACAAGCATGTGTCCGTCAAAGCAGCACACACACACACACACACACACACACACACACAGTCCTTGCTGCTTACTACTGTGTTTGTCTGTGCTCAGACAAGCAGGAAGGAAAAGCCATTAGTCACTGAGGTGCCATCAAGCACAGTTTAATTGTCTCATTTATCTTCCCTGTGCTGCTGAACTCCGCGCTGCCGCTCAGTTTCACCAGGCAGCCCTCAGGAGCAGAGCACTCTGTCAAATATAAGTATGTCATGATTTGTGGCAGCAATTGGTCCTATATAGTTCTGATGTGAGCGTCTCTGGCAGAAGTTGAGAAGTGGTGAGCTAGTTGACCTGTAGCATCAGCTGAGTTTCAGGTCGCCCACGTAGAATATGAATGAACTTCCGGGGCCTTGTTGAGGAAGTTGATGGATGTGCACACGCAGCTTATAGTCATGTCATGTCCTCAGTCGACAGCACTGACATCAGGCAGTCAATGCCTTCATGTTAGAATTCAGCAATTTGAAATTTGAACTTCTATGATTATGACATTGTTGTTTCAGTCAGTAGGGCCCTCATTTATTTCTTTAGAATAAGAAGGGCTGCGATACTTTGAGCTAAATGCTAACGTCAGGATGCTGACATGCTCACACTGACAATGTTAACATGCAGATGTTTAGCAGGTTCAATGTTTACCATGCCATCTTAGTTTAGCATGTTAGCATGCTAACTTTAGCTATTTAGCACTAAACACAAAGAACAGCGGAGGCTGATGGGAATGTCATTCGTTTTGTCAGTCATAAACCAATGTATTGAACAAATTTAAATGTTGACCTGATGATGGCACTAAATGGAAAGTCAGGGGATCCCGTATTCATCCTATGGGGAGCATGAATGTCTATACCAAATTTATTGGCAATCCATCCAGTATTTGTTGAGATATTTCAGTCTGGACTTGGTGGTGGACAGACTGACCTATAGCCACGCTGCTAGCATGGCTTACAGAAAAAAAACACACATCATTGCTAATTTGTTATTGAAAATACTATAAATCTCTCCATAATCCTTTTGAAAAATGAGTTGATGGTGAACAACTATAAAACTAAATATGAAAGAAAATCTCTTATGTTCTTAATCTAGAATACTAATGTATTACTTTAAGCACTCAAATGCATTAATTAGATGCAGTAAACCCACAGAAACCATTTAAACTAAATAGTACAAATGTAACTGCTACTTTTAGACCTCTTTAAAGTGTTTGCATAGACATGATCTGGACCCAGATGCTTCTGATACTGAAATACCTCGGCTTACTACGCATGAAGACTATTTCAGGACTAGCTTCCCATCCTCTTGTGACTCTCATTGTAATTTCAAAATTACAATCAAGTGTCGTTCCATGATGTTGCAGTTGTAATGTGAGCGATGGAGAGGTAACACGGGAGTCGGCTGAGTGGTTGGGAGTACAGTTGAGTAAAAGAATCCTCCCTCTCTAATTGACATCCTCTCTTTTAAACACTTTAAACCACTTGTCCTCTTCGGTCTCTCCTATGGCTCCCCTCCGTCTGTCCCCCTCTCCTCTCTTCGGGACTGCAGTCGTTAATTTCAACATCACGGAACAACACTTGACCTGTTTTTAGCTGCCGGGGTAATGACCCCGTCTCCGGTGACGTCCGCATGGGAGGAAGAAGAGGAGGTGAAGTAGGATGAGAAAGGCAGAGGGATGGAATAAATGAGAGGAGAGGAAAACAGGTGTGTAGGGGAGGGGAAGACAATGAAAGGTTTAGCTGGAATCTGAACATTTTTCAAGCAGAGTCACTAACAGCTATTAATATCTGCTGTTCCTCAGATTATTTAAATTTGACCTATTTTTTTATTGTCATGAACATTGGCAAAGTAGTATATATTTTGAGTCGCTGCCATGATGTTGTAAATACTCACCAGCCCACCAAATGTGTATTAACTCACCTTGAAAATAGTCCCTAATAAATGCACTACAGTGCCCGGCTGTTTTAGGAATTGATTAAGTATTTTTTTTAAATGTAAGTATATTTGCATGAACTCTTTTTAAAGATACGTCTTCAGTAGCATCAAAGTCAATTTGCAAACTGTTAAGATGGGGTTTCAAAGGTAAATGAGCCTTTCCACTGCACTATTTAAATATCAAACTTCCCCCTACCTGTAGATTTGTCAATATGTAATTTTATATTAGGTATCGTGTTGTCAAAGTTATTATTTGACCAGTTTGTTCCTGGTTTAAATCAAACTTTTGTTATGTTTA